GGAATCGTCCGGTTCTCTCTAGAACCGGACGACTTCCGATTTTTCAACCGATCCGATCCCTTTTTGCGAATTCCGGGTTCGACTCGGCGTTTTTTAAAACGCTCGTTTGGATGTTCTCCATACAATGCCTCCCATTAAAAAGTTTTTCACAGCCATTACCCCCAAATTACCCTCGAAAGGGTGCTTTTTATCTTTATTTGTGATGAAAATGCCTTTGTAGGTCTAATAAAAGTTCCAAATAAACATTCATATTTCTCTCTCTTTTCCCATTTTTTCTCTCGCTAAGCCTACCTTTCCATTGATATTCATCTATTTTTCTATCTCCGAAAACATAAATGGATATGTTAGTTTCTCTCTTTAAAGCTCTCTTTCTATGAAAATGTGAATAGATTTGTTGGTTTCTCCCTCTAAAGCTCTCTCTCTCTAAACGTATAAATAGGCTTGTTGGTTTCTCTGTCTAAATATAAACAGGTTTGTTGGTTTCTCTATCTTTCTTTCTCATTTTTTCTGTCCTTAAGTAGATTCCAAACCCATTAAGATAAACCAAACAACCCATTTATTTTCAAAGATTTGAAAATGAATAGGAATGTTGTCCTAGAGAGAGGAAAAGGAGAAAAAGAGAGAGAAATATGCGTAAATATTTTAAATTTTGTTGGGGTCATTAGTAAGGGTAATTTTATCACAAATTTAAGTGGAAAAATACCTCGAGTGTGAGTGAGAAAAAAGAAAAATATTTACAAGTAATGGACCTGAGAGACTTTTCAACACGAAAATCATGGAAAGAACTTTCAACCTGAGGGGATTGAGTAATCTTCCCATACTTTAACAAGAAATTTCTACGGCCCTCGACTCATATTCATGTGCCACTTTCAAAGCAATCAGGTGTACGCATACCATTTGTGTACAACTTGTATCCGTTTAATTAACCCAACTTTCATGCTAAAATATGACTCCAAACTCGAAAAATGTAGAAAATTATGGCTAATTATCTTTTTCCAACTAATTGAGATCATCTAATTTATGAAAAAAATAAATATAAAAAAAAACAAAAACAGCAACGGCGCTCCTTTGGAGAGCTTGGCAACCCAGATCTGATTCTCTAGGTTTAAAGTCAAAGGCCAATCTCTGACAGGCAATTATATGGAGAGTTGTCAGTGCTCCAAGTCATTTTTTTCTATGAAATTTATCTTAGTGATGGCTAAATATGGTTGTTTTCTTCAAAAAAAAAAATTTTCCCTAACCATTTTTTCTATTTTGTTTATTTTTGTTGATGGATCGATATGTTGCTAGTGGCTAAAGGGTATGGTTTCTATAAGGTTGAAGCTTGCAACTTTAAACAATCCAATTAAGGGGCACCTCCAAATTTTATCATGTTATTTTGGTATAAAAAATTATTAGAATTATCTCAAGGACCCGGTTTCTATGCGGCCAAGCCCGCATATATAGAAATACGGGTCTCTTAATAAATTTATTTTTGAGCTGGATTTTAAGTCTTAATTTTTAAGGACACGTAATCTCTAACATGGAGATCATGAATATAAAAAATTAAATAAATTTTAAAGACTAGAAATAATAATTCTAGTGAGAAAACATGTGGACCGTTAGGTTCGATTGTTTTTAGATGGAACGCCTACTTGCATCTATCTTTAAAACGGATGCTTTATACTTCTGGACTGCATATGTAGAAATGCGGTCCAGCCCACATGAAACAATTTTTCTTATCTCAAAATCTATTTTTATATCTAACTATAAAATTTTAAATTTAAAACATAATTAAAGTCAAGTAGATCTATAAACATATGAAAATCTTGAAAATGGACAGTCTAGATAATGTGTTGCAAGATGCACTATTTTTTGAGAGGAAATATATATATATATTTTCAAATTCATATATCTCGATGTCGAGATGATCAATTTGAAGGTTTTCCAACATTAAAATGACCTTTTTCGAAGGATTTTTTAGGTGCATCCACGTTGCAACCTTATATAAAACTTTCTCCTTTAAGAAATGTATGAATTCCCGCACACAATATCCAATGCCACGTCAGCGTGAAAAAGTAAGATAAAATGGGTTAAATTTAAGCTAATTGCCCTTAATCTCTCTCTTGCTCTCTTTCTCTAGTTGACCTTAACTAATTGAAATTTAAGTTATTGATAACAGATCTCACGATAGCATTTTCTATAGTGATCCATGGGTCGGATACAAATAATACTCTTTTCGACTGATGAAAGTATAAAAATAGTTTGAGCCGATGTTTTGAGATCCGGGCTGGTGGGTTGAGCCAAGCACCCACTGGTTTCAAGCCAGATAGAACTTAGTGTTGTAGAGATTGGCTTGGGCCGGGTATTCAGCCCAAGCCCCAGCCGAATATGTGGCCTGAGTCTGAATTACTCCAGCTCAAGTTTGGCTAAGTTCTAGCCAAGTCAACAAGTGTTTAAAAAAATATAAAACTCAAAATATAGAAAATATAAAGTAAAATTAAACAAAATACATCTAAATGAAGTTAAAAAAGTTTGGAAAAATATTTTTTGAGAAAATCAATTTATGACTAGAGGTATTTTTAAAAAGGAAAGGTTTCTATACTTCCCCTACAACATAGAAGATCTATGCTTCCTTGCCATTCAGCCGTCCAATTTTGCTCAAAAGAGCTACTCACCGTTTGATCTTAGATCCAATGTCTCAAAGTAATTTATTTTAAATTTTTTTTATAAAAATTATATGAATATGAAATTTGGTACGTGCTATCTTCTCATTAGGGCGCACTTATAAAAAATATTAAAACTAATTTTTTGATAAAATATAATGACCAAAATACCATTTAAAACTTTTAGGGGTATTTTGGTCATTTTATTTTATTGAAAATATTTTTTTTTATATTTTTCGCTAGTACAAGTTTAATAGAGGATTGAGCGTCTAAAATTTTGTGTCAGAATAGTTTATATAGAAAGAAAGTTAAAAATAAAATAGTGTAGAGACGTGACATTTTGATTGGGGCAATCTTAGCCGTCCATTCAGAATGGATGGTTGGATAAGGGGAAGTATGTAAGTTTTATGTTGTAGGAGAAGCATAGAAAGCTTATAATCTAAAAAAACGAGAAGATATAAAATTAACTATTCATTGAAAAAAACATTCCAATCTTTGTCAAAATGATAAAAAACATAAAAAAATATCACAAATCATTTATTTTAAGGTTTTATAATTCTTTCTTTTTTTAAGATCTTCGAGTTGGACTACCCAACTCAGATATACTTGAGTTTGCTAAGGTGGCAAATCTGAGTTACTCGGGAAAGTCCTATTTGGCTTGCCGAAGTAATCAAACACTGCTAGAAACCTAGCCAAGCTCTGTCGCTAGTTCTGAGGGTTTTTTTCTTTTTCCATTAAGAATAAATAAAAATAAAAATAAAATAAAATAAGAAAAGAAAAGATAAGATAACTCAGTGGAAGCCATTTAAAATTGGTGAGAAACCTACGGATCTTGTAGCCTAACCAGTACCCCATAGATTATTCATGCCCACCGGTAGTTCCAATGGAACATGCATCTTGACATACATGGCTAGTCGGCCCTTTTTTGATATTGGATCAGAATGGAACATGCATCTTGACATTGGGCCAGAATGGAACAGGTGTTTTAGAGAGATAGGCTGAATAGGCACTATGGGGTGGTTGCATTTGTCGTAAGCAACACCCTCTCTGCAATGCCATTCCTTATCACTTTGTCTATGTGGG